AAGGAGGGTTCATTTGAAGTTAAATCATTGTCCATATGAATCATCCTGCGATATCAACTAAACTGTTAAAAGGATCTCCTTCTTCCCACAATCCTTGCGTTTTCACGGATAGCATAAATCCGGAGCATAAAGACAATGTTTAGTGTTTAAACACATTACCAGACAGAGAAATATGAACAGTATCAAGAGCATACAGCAAAAACAAGTCAGGCAAGCCTAAAACGAAAAATTATATTCATTATCCCAAAACAGGCTGTTCATAAAAATAAAATACATGGCTCTACTTCCTCTTCGGATCAAAGGAAGTAGATTCAAAAGTATCCACTACATTAGGACTTGAGGTAGGAGGAGTTGAAGCCGCAGGAGCAGGGGAGCTAGGAGTACCCTTCAGGTGTGCCTTCACCATCTCGGCAAAGCGGATTTCAGCTTCCAAAGCCTCTGGCCCTTCATCGTATGGGAAGTGCACCCCCACTTTCTTGTCAAAGGCGTCCGGATCCATCGTCTTAGGACCTGAGCCCTGATTATAGCCAGACCGGAACGCTTTAGCACTAGCCAGGTGCGCCAGACAAGAGTAGCGCCCCTGCATTTGCTTCCCCGCCTTGAAGCAAGTAGTAAGAGCCTCGGTCAGGCGTTGAACCTCGGCCTGAAGAGAATCCACCTTAGCCTCAGAGGCTGACAACTGCCTCTTATACGCATCCTTGGCTTCAGAAGCTATCTTCAGATTGGTAGAGGCAGTAGTGGCTCTCTTCTCTGCATTGTCAAGATCCTTTTCCAACTTCTTGATGGAGAGGGATTGAGCTTCAGCAGTGGCGCAGAGGGCCATGGTGTGGTATAAACTCTGTTTAACAGGGAAACAAATATAAGCATAAATAGAAACATAAGCAAGCAAGAGTAACTTAATGCTGAAGGAGCAATGCGAACCTCTATGGCCCGGACTGGGGCAGAGGGGAGTAGTTGCTCCAACCCCATTTGGCTGATGGCTTCCTCGTCCTTTGGGAGCCACATTCCTCGAGCCACCGCCAGTGCAGCTGAAGGGTCTGTAATCACAGAATCCCCTGAGTGCAGGACTGACCTGTCAGCCCTGGTGAAGAAAGGAGTCCAAGGAGCCCCAGTCTCAGATAGAACAAAGGCCCTGACTTCATCTTCAGGTTCGGCCTCTCCAGCCTTTTTCCCTCTGCTTTTAGAAGGGACCTTGCCCTTGCCAGAGGATGAGGGGTTGAGGCGAGATTTCTTCAATGTTGGTTCCTCAACCTCCACTTCATCCTCAGTTGATCCAATGACGACCAAGGGTTGGGCATCTTCGGCTTTCTTTTTTAAAGCCTCAGCCCTCTGTATCTCCTCCTCAGTCATGGGGAAACTGTCAAAGGATGGTAGAGACAGATCCATGAGGTCTGCAGCAACGGCACTGGAGGCAATGTCCTTGAGGTTTGAAGAAGTTAGCAGGTCCTCGATAGGCGAGGGGTCACTCCAGACTCGTTCCTTAAGAAAAGAAAGTCTGTTCCTTGCTGCGGAGGATGGGAATGTAGCTGAAAAAACACCAAGAAACTCATAAATACGGCGAAATATTAAGACTTGGCAAGGAAAACAGCCAGAACACTTGGTATGAAGGGAGGTTAAATATTCTATATCTAATTTCCCGAATTTGCGCGGGATAGGGAGCGCAATTGATTGGGACACGAACCATTTTCCTTTAACTACAACCATCATTTCTTTCCATTTCTTTTCGGATGAAGGGAGGTTCGTGCATATCCTCTGATGAAGGGGAGAAGTAAAAAAGAAGCGACCAGGCTCGGTCCCATGCTTAGATATATTGTAAGTAAGCAGAAGGTCGGCAAGGGTCAAATCCAGAGCCTTTAATTTTCGGCGCACCAACAGTGCCGAAAGGATGCGAAAGAAATTAGGATTTACCTGAAGGGGGGCAAGACCTAGCTTATTGAAAACTAAATGATAGAAGGGATGGAGAGGGAATCGGAGGGCGTTAAGGTGCCCTACCGAAAGAAGCAACTCATCCTCCTCAATTCCCTCGCCGGAGGTGAAATCGGCACTCTCGGGATATTCTGCAATTTCTACTCCCTCAGGAATATCAAATTCTTCCATTACCAAAGCAATAGAGAACTTGATATGGCGAATAGAGATGATTGCTTTCTTCTCTTCATGGGTAAGAACATAATCAGAGCCTGAGGTGGATGTTTCGGTTGGAAGAGGGGAAGTACCTAATGGATTCAACAAAGGGCGATCTGTAGAAACCCTAGGAGGGGGAGCCCTAATGCGAACGGGGGAAGATGAAGGTGTGGATTCAGAATCCCCAAGGTCTACACGTTCGGGAGTAGATGAAGTACTCATAATGAAAGATTGAAGAGAAAGATGCGAAACTAACCTGACAAAGCGAAGGAAGCGATGGGATGAAGGACGCAGAAGTGCAGCAAGGGCAAATGTAACTCTTGCAAAATCTTGTGTGACGGAGTAATAATGAAAGACCACGAACCGTTTCTGAAGCAAAGTAAAAACCGGTTTCAATTCCCTCTTTAATAGGAGCCGGCACTCAATTAAAAATGGAATTTAGGGCAAAGTATGGAGGGAAAAAAACTCCCTCCAATAAAAAGCGCACACGTCACCACTACCCATATCTACATTCCAAGGACATACAAGGCCCATCATGCTCAAGCCCAAGTTGAGGGTATTTACAGCCCAAGACCATTGTTATTTGTCCTCCAACTTCCATCAAGGCCGAATCAAGAAGTCATCAGCCCAGCTTGTCGTCAGCCCAGCGTATGAGTATTTAACATCCGGCCTGTTACCCAAACCCAGCCGGATTAAAATATATTCAGCCCAAGAATGCACAAATCCTACCATTTGAAGGATTTGCTGTAGAAGGAAAATTCGGATAGGAAGTTCTGTACAAGGCAATTTCTATGTATGGAAAATTCGACAATGGAAAGAACTCTATTAGAAAAGAATGGTTATATAGAAAGAATTGGAGGGCAAGCAACGCGAGTCCTACCATAATTTTGCAATCTTTTGTATATAAATAGAGGCTAAGACCTCCAATAAAGGATCAAGCAATTCTACGCTTCTCTACACACTGTTCTTATTTATTTTTATTGTTTTTGAGTGAGTTGTTTTATTTTTCTCAATCATTATTGGTTGGGCGAAATTTTGCACCTACACAAGTCAAACTCAGGTGTTCCAAGTGAGGATTTGTTGGGAATTTGCTTGAACACTTGTTGAGAAAGAGCAGTGTGTGTGATGAGTTTGCTTGCTGAGATGTGTAAATGAAGTGGCAATTGCGAACCATTTGAACATGGATTAATGACTTTTGACTATTGACTTTATTGAGCTAAATTGGTTGAGTTGGGTATGGTTCATCAATGAAAATATTAAGTGGTTTACCCAAGAGTCGAGCAGAATTCTCGCTTATTAGTCATTTATGCAAGATATAAACAAGTGGTTGTTTCACTTTCTTTTATTCTGCATATGACCAATTAGAAGTTTTTGATCTCACTTACTCTCTAATATCATTCTGAATTATTCATCCATATTTTTTTAGAAACTAGTAAATGATCTTAAACTATTTGACATTTGATGGATTATAAATTTAGAATAATTACTATAAGTGATTTCATTGGCGGTTTCAATATACCTTTATATCTATATAACTTAAGTCCGGACTAGGACATAATATCAAATGATAAGTATAGAGAAATGATTACATAGTCCTAATCAATTATAAATTGATTTATGAGTGGTTGGGATCATGTAAAAAATTTTCCAAAAATTTGGATGATTTGATTGACCATGGAGGGCTGGCATGTGAAGGGCAGGGCAAATGTGCACTTAAAAGAATAAATAAAGGGTAAAAGTGAAAAAAAAAAAAAAAAAAAAAAAAAAAAAAAAAAAAAAAAAAGGAGGTACTCCGTATCAATTTATGTGGAGATTTGTTGGGAAGTTGCTTGTAAGTCTGAAACACTAGTTGACAAAGAGCACTGTGAAAAGGGTTTAGTCGTTGAGACGTGTCAAAGAAATTGCCAATGTGAAGAAGCATGCGAACGTATACATTAATGACTTTGAGTTTTGTTTGGTCAAGTTTAGTTGATGGTATTTTGACCATTGTGTTTCATCAATGAAAGTGTTGAATGGATTAGAAAGTGTTGATGCTAGACAAATATAGATAAATTTAAGTTGTTACTTATTATTTTTTTTAAATTTATTCTCCAACTTATCTTATTATATTTTTATGATTGTATGAAGTAATCTTTCTATTAATCATAAGATTAGAACAACTGTGATTTCAAATTCCGTTTCAATGTATCTTTGTAGTTATGCAGCTTCAGTCCAAATTAGGACGGTGATTTCTTTGAAGTGAGAAAATTTTGGATGTTTGCTTGACTTTGAAGGTCAGGTATTTTAGGGAAAGAACATATGTACAGTTATAAGAATAAATAAAGGGTAAAAATGGAAATTTATCAATTAATACCACCCACTTACCTTAATTTTTCTACCTCAAAGACATATATATATATACACACACACACAAATATTAATCAAAGTTGATAACCCGTTGTTTGAAAATTATTAAATAATTGTCAAAAGGTCGGATGATACACCCAAACAATAAAATTCATCTAATTCAAGTACAATTACGATTATCACGTATTTTGCTATATAAACAAAATTTAATCAAATAAAGGATTTTTTGTTAATTTTTAAGATTAGAATAGGTTTTCAAATATACAAAATATAAAATAAAAAAAAAAAATTACGGGGACTTGACCCTTATCTCTTCACTTTAAAATGCACCATACAAAAAATATTGCCAATAAAACAAATTTCGGAAGCTTCTTTTATTCTCTAATAAACATTGAGATTTGGTTGAAAAAATTGAACTAAAAATATAAGTAATTTTTTGTATAATAATTTTCTAAAAAAAGTGAACAAAGAAATCGCGTGCAAAGATGTAGTAGCATGTAACGCGGACCGAAGTGCAAGCTCACGCCTTTAAATTCTCACAACCTCCTTTGAGTCTCTCTCATGCCTCTCCATTCCCAAATTTGGTCCCACTCTCTTTCTCTCTCTCACACTCTCCATCCTCCCTCCCCATCCCTCCCTCTTTCCCTTCAACCTTTCCACCCTCTCCATTTCCTCTGCAAATTCCTCCCTCCCTCCCTCCCTCCCCCAACTCCACTTCCATCTCTCTCTTGCAAATTTCTGAATTCATCTCCCTCTTTCTCTAACCATTATTTCTCTGGAGCCAAACAAAAAAGAGGGGACAGAAACAACAACCCCTCGTTTGTCTATCTCTCCTCTCTTCTCTTCGTCTCTCTCTCATCAAGGAGAGAGGAGGGACCTCTTATCAATTCTCTCCTCCACATCATGAGTATCAAATTCAAGCACTGAGCTTTAACGTATCATTTGAAAGCTCAATACTCATTAAAAAAAAAAAAAGGAAAAAGAAAAGAAGGTGCAATTAGCTCAATTTAACAAAAACCAACAACATTTTAATTCGTTTCATCAAAACAGAATGAAGATGGTCCACGGATCAAGAGAAGGTACAGGAAGAAGCGGCGGTGGGGGGTCCCGGCAGGCGCTGAAGAAGGGGCCGTGGACGGCCTCAGAGGACGAGATCTTGACGGAGTATGTGAGGAAGAATGGTGAAGGAAACTGGAATTCAGTTCAGAAGAATTGTGGGCTGTTGAGGTGTGGGAAGAGTTGTAGGCTGAGATGGGCTAACCATCTTAGGCCTAATCTCAAGAAAGGTGCCTTTTCTCCTGAGGAGGAGAGGCTTATCATTGAGCTTCACGCTAAGTTTGGCAATAAATGGGCTCGCATGGCCTCTCAGGTTGTTTATCATCTCTTTGTCTCCACAATTCTTCTTTTTCCTTTTGATTTATTATCTCTGTTTGCATGTTAAGTAATTTCATGATCACCCTTTCGTGTTTTGCTCTGTTTTTGTAGTTTTGACAATTACCCGGTTATATCTGTATATAGATTTGTGTGTATATACACATACATCATCTTCTGCAATCTCCATCAGATTTACATCACCTTCTTTTGTTTATAATTAAACTTTTGTTTTTTTTGGGGGTTAATTTGGTATCTTTGACTATTTGAGCTCGGATAAGTTTGCATACATTTAACCATCCCAGACCCTGAAATGGTAGGAGTCTGGTGCACTGAATTTGCCTTTACTAGTAGTTTTGACCTATTTCTTCATTTGGCCTCTTTCTTTAGCTCCTCTGTATCTGATTCAATTTTTTTGTTTGTGTGTACTAGCTTCCTGGTAGAACAGACAATGAGATAAAGAATTATTGGAACACAAGAGTTAAGAGACGCCAACGTGCCGGTTTACCTATATACCCTCCTGGCATAGAAAACCACCAACAGCAGCAGCAGCAGCAGCAACAAGAGCAAACACAACCCAACTCTTCATCATCTTCAGTTTCATCTCTTTTCCTACAACCATCTCATCAACACCAAGAACCCAATTTTAACCACTCTCTATCCCTCTTTGATCACATCAATTTTTCGAAAACATCGTCAAGTCCTATGCAGCCTCACCTCGCAGCTTTCTCACCTCTCTACTATCCCAACAACCAGTTCCAGTTTTTAGGCCACGACGAGAGGAAAGCCGGTCCTGCTTTGCCGTTCCCGTCCTATGTTTCGCCGTTCCAGTCTTCGTCGCCGGCTCTGTTTAGCCAGAGCATGCCCAATGAGTTACTGCCAATACCTTCATCCCCTCTGTTTAATTCTGGTGATTTGGATGCCAACCAAACACCAAAACATGGAGCCTCAATTGGCCTAATTGGTTTAGCCCCAAGTAAAGATACAGAGCTACCTTCAATCCAATCAATCATGCCGGTGACTACTACGACACCAAGTTCTTCCGGCAATACTGGGAGTGACTACACAATGGCAGCATCAAGCAATGCTGAAGAATATGAGACTGCGCCGGAGATGTCAATGGCCAACAGTGGCTTGTTGGAAGCTCTGTTGGAGGAGTCTCATGCTATGGCGCGCACCGACAAATCAAAGAAGCAGAAATTATTGCCAGCCGATGAAGGTAAGGAGAAATTCAGGAATGAAAGTCACTGGAATTATTTCATCCCCTTTATTTTCCTTGAACACAGTTAAGAAAATAAATTAATTAAATGAAAATTATTTACAGTCTGAGAGTCTAATAACCCCTATTGTTTTGTTGAATGTTAATGTAGTGATGACTTCAGCCATCAACCCCGCTCGCATTAAATCAATCGGACAATTCTGACTCTCCCACTCATATTATCTCCCATAATTCTGACTCTCCCACTCATATTATCTCCCAAAACAAAATTTCCCTATTTTCATGTACTTAATCAACATTATAAGAAGAAGGGTGATATGGACTTTTTCTTTTAGTGCCAATTTCATTTCTAGATAAGTATTGCCTCGAGAATTGAGTTCACAAACTTGTTTTACAAACTTTACGCAAGCGGTGTTGGAATCTTATTTAATGTTGTAGGCTACCTTAATTTTTGTCTCTTGTAATTTTCATTTATAGCAAAAACATGGTCAAAAGTCAAACTGAATTGTTGTTATTTATTTATTTACTTTATTTGTTTGGCTATGAAGAATTAAATGTGGTTTTAATTTTTGGTTGACATAGGAGTGAAAGCAAAAGATCCATTGGAAGAGATGAACCCCATTGACGATGATTTGTCGAGCTTACTAGACAACTTTCCCCTTACCGTGCCCGTTCCCAGTTGGTACGATGGAAGTGACAATTTGTAAAATGATGGATTAATAGATATGATCGATGACAATCTGAAGCTTGATAGTCGGCTTAAAACTTTACCGCCTCCGGTTACAACCACCTCGACAAGAAAGAATATCTTACTAAACCCTAAGGTTACGTTGGGAGAACAACATGCCCGCTATATGCCAAGAACTTGGTGAAACATCTGAATTTGATTTAGAGAAATTAGAGATTGAGGGATTTATCAAATCTCTCTTTAATTACGTGTGTCTTAGGTTTTAGTAATCCTTTCTTTTACAATTTGTTAGTTTGGGAGCGCTTGTCTTGTACAAGCTGGCTTAATTTAGACTTTATGTAGCCTTTTCTACTCAGCAATTTAGTGTACAGCTCTCGGAGCCAACGAGCACTAGCTCTGTTGATTATACAATGTTGTATAAATGTTATAGGTTCAGCTCTTGTAATGAATTAAGCTCTTTGCAGCACAAAAACTTGTACCGGTTAATTTTAGCCCTAGCACAAACTCTCTAATTTTGAATGTTGACTTGGAATTGGCATGCATTTGAGATATATAAAAATTTAAATGAATTATTTAATACTTCTTTTAATTTATTGGTTAATTAGAGAGTTCATCACTATGCCTAAAAATTAGTAATAGGATGAGGATGTGTGCATTGATTACCAACTAAGTAATACATGTGGGAAATGTTATAGCTTTTAAAAAAATTAATATATTTGATTATTTTATGTGAACAGAGAATGAAGTCATCATGTTATTTTACATTAACTCCGACTCATATAAATACAATCAGATACATTCGATCATGACTCATAAAATTGTGATCGATTTCATAATCAATCTTGTTTATCAACTCATTATAACCTCAATTAAATCACATGGTACTTATATATTTCTTGACTATCTCAATGCATTAATAAGGATCATATAGTCTTTGGTGTTGCTACAATGACCACACCATCTTCAAAATAAGGGTAATTTACTTGAAACTCGTCAAGGTTTGGCCGTATTACCCACGGCTAAAGCTATCTAAAAATGTGTGGTCAACCTCCCTTGAGGTTTGTCATAATTACTTTGACCAGCCTTGGTAGTTAACCATTAAATTTGTCAATGAGATATTTTTAAAATGCTGAAACTATCCTTAACTAAAGTAAAAAGACTTAAATGGCCCTATTAGAATACTAAATGACAATTTTAGCTAATTTTAAATGAGCAAAGTACCTTTAATATATATATAATAATTACAAAAAAAATATATTGTAACAATTATATCAAATGGTCACCATACATGGTGTATATAAATTTTTTGCTCATTGATGAGGAAGCGATCATTTGTATATATAAATGGACTAAGTATATAAAACACCACTAAGGTTTATTTTTTGAGCAAATAATATCCCTTTCTTTTACTTTAGGTATATAACTCCTTAAAAAAATTTAAAATGTTGCAAATTAGGACTTTCTGATAATCAATCGTTAAGAAAGTATTGTTAACAAACTATGTGCCTTGCACATGGCTAATTAATTGTATTAAATACCGAAAATGCCCTTATTCAGAAAATGCCCTTACCCTTTTTGTATATAAAAGCCATAATACTTATTTTACATTAATTAAATTTTTTACTATTTTTTATTTTAATTGTAGGAAGGGCATAATGGACCGAATGAGCAGAGGTTCTTATTCGCCCCTAAAATAAATGTTAGGGAGTTTTCAAAACATATAAAGGGTTGTATGAGTTATATGCATAATACAGGGATGTTAAATACTCGCGATCCTATATAAATATATTACATTATCATCTTCATTTACCACTGACAAAACATACTCTATCACCGACACCACCACCTCAATCGGGTTTTTCTCTCCCCCTTTTGCTTTCACTCATTCTCTCTTTTTGGTTTTCTTCTCTCTCCCTCTCTTGATTTGCTCAAATTTGAGTACTGAGAAAAATTAAGGCAACTTTTTTTAAGTAAGTTTTTTGGAATAAACTTGAATTGATTGCTTTTGTAGTGAATAGTGATGGATTTGTTTATATTGAGGAATGGGATGTATTAGATTTTGGGGTTCAACTCAGGCGGGAACCTCCCAAATTAATCTTTATGGAGATAATTAGGACATGCTTGGTTTGTAACTCTAAAAATAATTCTTAAGAATTTAGAAAACAGAAAACAGTTTTCAAAGAACAATAAAAGATAGTTCTTTGAAAATAGACCTTTTATAACTGAGTTTTCAGAAAATTGAACCAAACAGAATTTTGTGTACAGTTTTCTGTTTTCAATTTTTTGAAAACAGAAAATTATTATCAGAGTTACAAACCAAGCAGGCCCTTAATTTTCACAATAGGGAACATAGGGCTATTAGAAGAGTATACATATATTATGGGACCAAAAACCTACACCAAGCAGAGGAGTCCATATGTCCAAATCAGAGACCAAGTAGAAACACCCACATAGCACAACTGCCAAATGACATGTAAGGGAATAGTTCAAGCAGGAAAATGATTTAGAAAGTAGTGGGGGGCATGATTCGAGTCATAAAATCAACAACGATTTGAAAATGTGGAGTAGATTGAGGAAGGAAATAACGACAACCGTTACTAAAGCTCTCTATAAATGTACCCGAGGAAGCCTAAGAAAGTCATCGAGTTTTTATTATAATAGAGCTCCATTGTTTAAGAGAAAAATCTCCAAATAATATTCCTTGTTCCCTTTTGTTCTATTCTCCGGTGTCTCTGTGAATATTTACAGTTTTTTGCACTTACGTATGCAATATTGATCATTCATTTTCTCCATAGGCTTTTAAAGTAAGGTTATTTTCAAATTTAGGGATTTGAAACAAAGTTGTTCTTGGTTTTAGCCTAGAAAAGTAAGTGCATGAATGTAATTGGGAAGAAATGGTTCAAAAGGAGTAAATTGTTTGAAAGGGGAAAGTGTAATATTTTTCTATTTGTGATTTTCCCCCTAATTTGGATTGAAAATTTGAGAGAACAAGAATATGGCATATCGTCAGCCATTATTTGGTTTTCCCCACAACATTATTCCTTACCAGAATCATTACACTGTCGGTCTCTCACTATTGTTGTCGTGGCATCTCATCTTCTTGGTCTCCATTCTTTTAGTTGAGATTTAGGGTTTGTAGTGACGCAGGAAGAGTAAAACGGGGGCAATGTCAAGCCGTCAGCGTCGAATGAACCAATATGCGCCACCACTAACGGTGTTGGGTCCGCCCGAGTTTGGAAGCAAATTAGTTCTTAAATTTCTTGTGCAATTCGAATATGGTGAAGGTGAAACTCAATCAAGCAGAACCCAAGCATTGTCCTTTTAGTTTAGCCATTTTTTGTCATTTCACAAAATCATGCTTTTAAAAATGTAAAATGTAAATATAAGGGTACCTTAGGTAAAGTCTAATTTTATTTGTTTGATACCTTTGGGTGTTAATGACCCATATAAATGGTGATAATGACCCATATTTACCATTTAATGAAGTCAAGTTTCACAGTTTTGAAAAAAATGAAGTTGACCAAAATACTAACATGGACATAGAAAAATACTATTTACTTTCACTAAGGTACCACTTTTAGACATATATGTACCACTTTTTGTATATGGAGGTACAATATTTTTTTTTTTTTTGGCATAGAGAAAAAGTGGTACTAGTATGCACAAAAAGTGATACCTCAGTGAAGATAAACAATATTTTTCTATATCTTCATTTTTTCGAATTGATAAAACTTTAACTCTATCAAATAATAAATATGAGTCATTAATACTATTTATACGTAATAATCTCTTTCTTTTAACACACTTTGAAAAGGAGCATGTCAACTTTAGAGGGCTCAAAATGTACTATAGTTAGAAAGATAGGAGATAGGTCTTTTTTGCCTTTTACATTTGACCATATAAATTTATACACCACATTCCATTATGTTTTTTGGGCCACTGAATGTTTGCCTATTTTGGAAAGTGGCGTGATAAACCCAACCCAATTGGACCATGGTTGCTTTATTCCGGAATCTCGCTAAAAGGGATTGCTAAATTTGAAGGTGCCTTGGTGGGCCTTCTCTCTCTTATAAATGTGGTGGCGTGGCAATGAGGTGTTAAAATAAGACAATGTTTGTCAACTTGAGTGACTTTCTTTTTTTTGTTCTCTGTTCTGAAACGTATGGTATGTCTTTCTACAATATTATCACTTAAAAAAAGGGTTCACGCAAACCATCTTTTCCCCAATCATCGCCTACTTTCCTCTCTCATACATTCAATATAAGACTTGTTTGTGTGAAAGAAAAAACATAAAAAGAACATTGGAGGTGCTTATGTTATTTGTGACCATGGAAACATGTTTCACGTTCAATGTACTACTACTGTATTTTGGTAACTTATTTATATCTACTACTGACGTAGGTATATTTCAATAATTTAATGGATCTTGAGCCATACGTGACTCTTTGACAACGCAATGGATATACACGTGTGTACATATAATGATATTTGTATTATTGTATACAATAATATCATTCTTGTCATGACCTATATTTCATTCTTGTCATGACGATGCCTATCTAGTCTATAATAATGGGCTTCAGATTTTAAATATTCTATGCATTTGAAAATCGATCCATGGAAATTTCGATTCAAGATATAAAAAAACGTATATTAAAAAAAATTAAAAATAAAAATAAAATAAAAAAAAGAAGGGATCGAACGTACATACTTTCAACTCATCAAAATTTATGTTGATAGCAGTAAAACAGAGCGTTTTTAGACTCTCTCCCTTCAAAATTCTTTGTTGTTTGATTAGACAAACTTAAGGTGGCAAAATGGTTACTGATCTGTCCATTTTCACTAACTTTTTAATGAATTTGGGTGAATCATATTAAAACACTGGTCAAATGGATTAAATAAATTTAAACCAGAGGGTCAAAACGGATTGAATATGATTAACTATATTCAACCCATATTTGACCGGCTTGAATCAAAATCGCATTGGACAGTCCACACTGATCTCTTGCCTCTGAATACATGGTGCCTTCATTGTGCTGCCGTGAGAGAGAGAGAGACAGATCGGTGAGACTTGTGTGTGTCTGTGTGCGTTTAGAACCTACTTGTAACTGTTTTCTTGATTCAATTTTAGAGAGAGAGAGATGTGCTGGTTTTTCTTCAATTTTTTTTAGTAAATAAAAATAGAATTCGGACTAAAAAATAGTAAAGATAAAATTTTCCAAATAATAAAGGGTTCAAAAAAAAAAAAAAAAATGGGTCATTGCGTCATTACGGTTTGACCCGGCCCATCTTGACACAACCCGATGTTAATGGGTTAAATATGAAATCCAACCAATATTTGACCATCCATATCTGACTCATCCAAACCCCACTCAACCCGCCCATTTACCACCCCAAGACAAATTTTATACTAAATAGTAGACTAGCAAAATGCCATTGCAATCATTTTAAGATTTTAACAAAGATATTAATTACTGCCGGGGAAAAAAAAAATTTAACAAAAATATTGTGTTTGCTAGGACAACTGATATAGCTTAGCACTATTATGCACTGAACTCTTATTATAGTGATGAAAACATGACATTTTGTTCTTTTGTTGCACCTTATTTCCAATGTATTTTGTCCAGCTTGTATAGCATTAGGAGCTGGCCTTTTATGCTGTTTCATTCCTTTTTTAGCACTGCTTTTTAAGAATTTACAGTCTCGGTCAATCACAATTTACAATCTCATTCAATCACAACTAGCAAGCAAAAAACTGAATAAAGTTGACATGAGACTATGTAATCTCGGACCATGTAATAATTTATGCACCAGCTAAGCTGTGGCTGTTGTCATGTTGGCTGTTTAGTTTCGTCCTTTGTACATGTTCTATCATATTATACCATTAACCTTTACCAATAAAACATTTTATTAAGGTATCTCACTTTCACAAGGTACTTTAATTTAAGGGAGCACAGATAACGCATGAATCAAGAGTAGTGGCAGTGAAATTTGTCCATGCACTTGTTGAGCTATTCACCACACCACCTCATTTCAAGCCACTCATTTCTCACCTCTCCAACCTTGTGTTCCCTTCTCTTCTCATCACATCATCTTTTTCTCACTCTTCTTCACACTTTTGGCTTCCTCCCCACTCACTCTCACTTAATTTAGGAACTCTTGCTCCCTCCATTCCCAAAATCCATTCCCATATGCTACTCTCTCTCTCTCTCTCTCACACACACACACACACATGCAGAGGGTTCCCTTACCACGCATTACCATACTTTTTATGTCTCTTGTCGTTCTCCCTACTTTTTTGAGCCTGATCCACACAGATGTACCAGTGAGAATTGAAATCACATAAGACACTCTCAGTCGATATGACATATCACGATTACTTTCCTATTCTACAGTCTGTTGCTTTCGTGATTTCTTCCTATTCTACAGTCTGTTGATTTTGCTTAAGTCAACACCGTACGTGTAGGTTTCACCCTAATAAAAAGGGGGAACAAAACTATATGTAACATGTAGGTTTTTGCAACAATATCAATTTTTTGGTAAGAACATACAAATGCAGACTGCATTAATTATTCAATAATAATATGTAAAAGTAGTTTATAAGAAGCATTTGCAAGGTGCTAAAGCCAATTCCATGAACAAAATAAACAGCAACACAGAAGTACCGATTAATTAGGAACCTGAACGATAAGAGTGGAGTGACCTTCAGCACTCTATGCAGCAACTTGAATTATAACTTTACCAACATTAGAGGTAGAGAAGATGGATGCAAAGCCCTCCAAGAAGCTCTCGATCCCATTATAAATTTTGTGTTCCGAACTAATCTTTTTTTCTTTTATGTAGCCCTCCATCTCTTTCATGAACTCCCCCATGCGATTCATATATGTACCCACCAAAAACCCTTCGATCTTTACTTCTTTACCAACTATATTGAGTAGGTTCCTCACCCCTTCTCTCTCTGTCCAAGTCTACATGAAGGCGGCCAGTTAATTGACAGTTTTATCAGGATCATCCTTACACTTATTTATATACAATTTGTGCAAAATATGTATCTATGGATAGATGTTGACTTGCCTTGTTATATTGAGATATCATCCCACAGACTGGAATATGAGCACCCTTATTGACATGGTTAAGGACAGCCTCAAGCATCTTACCTCCAACGTTGTCGAGGTAAATATCAATGCCATTAGGGCAGTACCTGTAACATCCAATGTAAACTTCCATGCATTGTCACTTTCACATAAAACCATGTCTCGTGTTCTTATTGGTAATATAAGTGTATTTGTAAATTTAAAAAGCCCAAAGAGGCGCAAACCGAATGGGAACCCAACAATGTGAAAGGCCTAAACACAGAATGATGGTTTTGTTGAATTGTATTTTCATAAGCAGACATATCTTCTCATAACATTGAACAATAATTCATTTTATTAAAAAAAAGTAAAGGAATTTAAATAAATTACTTGCTCAAAGCAGCATCGAAATCAGTTTCTTTGTTGTAGTTGAATGCATCATCATATCCGAATTTCTCCTTTGATAGCTTAACCTGCATTGTGTGGCCGTGAAGGTCAAGCACATGTAAACGTAAGAAGCTATAAACTCAACTCAACTCAACAAATATTATTCCTAACAAAAGTAAGTACCTATGTAAGAAAATAAATTAAGGAATTAATGTAAAGAATCACTAGATAAAAATAAATAAAAAATAAAAAAATAGAAAGACAAATCTTCGATAAATATATTATGTGATGAGTCCTTTTCTTTTCTGGAATTTTATATTCTCTTCGGTTAAATTCTATTTTTATGTAGTTGAGATTATTATATAACATAAATTCATGCAACAAAATAAATAGATAATTAAATAAATATATATTTTATTGTGTTACAACACCAAAAACTCCATGCATCACCACAGATTCATAGCTAAACATATGGTTGTGAAACTATAATGGCTGTTAATATAAGTAATATAAGGAAGACAAAATTGGAAAAAGAATTACTAAGCATCAAGCTTTAGTTCAATCATATCAAGTATATTACAAGAGGTTAAGCGTTTTAAATAATCCCAAATGCTGGTAGGCCAATATGCTTCTTTTGGTAAGAAGATGGAAACTTGGAAAAAGCAAAGGTGGAAAGATAGAATTAAGAACTATCCAAAAAAATGAAAGAGACCTACCCTAATGTTGTTTGGAAAAAACCGGACCTTCGGAATCATTAGAACCATGAGGGACTAGTTTGGGAACACAAATCTGGCCTTTTTGATAACTTAAATTTTTATATTGAGATTCTACTTTGATCTTTAAACTAATTAGCGGTTTGGATTGGTCCTTTGGGACCCCAAACCTAGAACCGAATCATTAATTAACGGTTCCTTATTATTTAAATTGGAACCGAATAGAACCATAAAAAAAACCCGGACGAAACCTACCAGTCTGGTCCGGTTCACAGGTCAAACCGACTATTTCTACACCCCTATTTTCTTATACTTTATTTCCTTAAACTTTTGGAAGGAAGAATATGATGGGCCTGCCTCTTCCCTTCCTCTTTCCATCTATTAAACAAATGAAAACCATCCATCATTGCTACCAAACAAGCTATTAACAGTCATATGGTATAAAATGGGCCAAATGGGATTCCACAAAATGTCATACATACAATAGGCCCATCTCAACAACATCAAAGCCCAAAGATAATGTGGTGTAGCCCATTCAAATTCTGGATTGTAAAAGTGTCTTGACTTCACAGTATATATGTTTACAATTTAATTTATGGTGCCCCAGCCCCACTAAATGAAGCTTTTGCACACTGGACCCAGGTGGTTGGATGCTAGGAAAATATTCAAAGTACGCAATGTGACAAACAACTTTATAAAAACTTTGTTTTTTCTCAACAAATCATTGTCCTGAAACTCCTGATCGATGATTTGGAATCAAATTGGAAAGAAGATATTAAATTGAAGTCACTAAACCCTGACTGCATAACAAAACATGAAAATCATATTTAAACCATCAATCTATCTATACCTTGCCAATAAGGATCGAATTTCATTATTTTACTATTATCAAGATCATTTGTTTATATGATGAGTCCAAAATTAAGAAAATCCCTTCCTTTCTCCTTCTCCATTGTTTTTCATTCCTTGTTCCTACCAAACATGATATCACAGATCATTTATTATTAGCCTTGCGATTAAAGTCTCTTGAAGATCATAATGACCCTTTTTGTTTTGTTTTTTCTGTAAGTCATAATGTCCCTTTTTACTATTAATTAAATTCTCACCAAACCCAGTGGACTAACCACCCAACCTAGAAGCACCAACTAATGGTACAAATAATTTTTTAAAATTTATACTATTTTTTTCATGGCAAGAAACTCACACACTCTTGCTCATATGAGAACTTGAACCTTCATCATGAAAGACAAAGAAGATACCACTAAACTACAACCTTTGATCAAATAGCATTGTTGCTATACATTAATATTAAATAATTATTATGACTAATGATGCAATTTAATCATGGTATAAGTTCAAAAAAATGTCATCTTATAGTTGTCTCTTGTTTTCTTTATCATTTAATGAGTAAAACTAGTAAGAGAATTATCACATTACAAGAGTCATGAGATGTCTTCTATTAGCCATACTATAACAATAGCTTGTTTTCCTCCTAAATGAATAGGGATAATTACACTTACTTCCCTTCTAGATTACCTAAATAACAAGACTTTCATGTCCTTTGATCCGAATATATTAAATGACTATTATAACCATTGTATTTTTATTGGTCCAACAAATGGACAAAATAGGATTTTCAAGCTTTCTAAGGGTATTCTCGATTTTTTAGTAAATTTTGAACATTGAAAGATAAAATAAGAGTATCAGATTTTATTAGAAGGGAGGTGAACATTAATGAGACTTAAATTAGAAGGGAGGTTGAGGTTTTTGTTATTTAGGTAATCTACATTAGAGGAAAGTGTAATTATCCCAAAACAATATAAGGTTAATTCAGCCTTTTAACATATTTGACTTAACAATAGAGGCCACGATAGTCAGTGGGTCATCATCTCCTCACTCAAACGAGAGGTGAGGGGTTCAAGCCAAATGTGTGTGAGTACTCACCTAACAAAAACAAAAATGGTGTTAAGGGTTCTAAAACTAGGCTAGGTCAATGTAATTTTATGTTCTGAAAAACTGAGTAAATTAAGGCTCCGTTTAACAAACGTAAAATATTTTTCAAAAATTATTTTCCTCATTTTTCGGTGTTTGAGAGACTCCAAGGTTAGAAAAATATTTTTCAAGTAAATCATTTTACCCCCAAATGACTAAAAATGATTTACTAAAAATATTTTAGTAAGTCATTTTCCACGTGTTACTTTGGTCATCTAATTATCCATATTCTTATTGAATAACATGTTCCTCTAACAACTAATCTTTTTTGGTCCTCCCAATATAAAAATCTAATCTTTAGTTTTCTCTTTTTTAAGTTGGTCGAGGTACAGATTTGGGTCGAGAACATATTCTAGCATAGAGAGAGAGTGGATAGAGAAAGTAACGAAATGGTGAGGAGGGATGGTTTAAGATAGAGAGAGAAAATAATAGGGAGAGAGGGGTTGGTTTGGGGGTAATATTCTCTGTGGATGGGGAACCGTGGAAAGAGAGAGAGAGAGTTAATTGTGGGTTTCGTGAATAACATCGAAGAAAGAGAGAGTTAATTATGCACAATATTCTATTCCATGTGGGTGGGGAACTGTGGAAAAAGAGAGTTAATTGTGTGTTCAGTGAGAAACATTGAAGAAAAAGAGTTAATTATGCACAAGAGGGTTGCCAGTCGCGGCCTTAGCAGCTGCCATGTGTAAGTTTACTTTTCCAACTACTGATTACTTCTATGACTACTTCTATGACATTTTTTCTTGGGCCTTTCATCAGAGTATAATTACCATCTTGCCCTACTACTCTTTACAGAAAAATGAGAACCCCTCTGTCTCTAACCAAGCATTCTGCATCTAATTTTCTTTACCAAAATGTAGATGAAAACGCCTGTAATAACACACACATTACAAAATTTTAAACTTGCAAACCAATATTATTAAGTTCCAACACCATAAATCAGGCAACATAAACATACCAAATTAGGTACCAAGCTACTGGAAAACAGAGCCAAAAATGTATATTGACACCAAAGCAGAATCCGGCGATGAGAGAGTTGTCGACGGAGACAGAACGATGAGGTGTTGATAGTTCCATCGTGGCCGGCAAAGTGATTGACGGCGCAGAGGGAGTATTGAGCAACGGGGTGAAGAAGGCCGGACCGGCGAGGATTGCGAGGTAGCGATGGAGGCCGGAGGCGAAGATTTTCTCGACGTAATCGATGCAGAGGACGGGGAAGGTGGCAAGGTGGATGACGCCGGAAAGAAATTTTCAGGTGGCCATGAGGGAGCCGCAGAAGGCGCGGTGGCCCAAAGGACGAAGCCGCCGTTGCCAGGGTAGGCAGGCGGTGGCGAGCTCATGAGGAAGATGAGGGGGATGAGGGTTAGTTTTTTGTTGGTGGTGGTGGTGGCGGTGGTGGGGAGCTGGTAGGGGGTGTCTGGGTGGTGGTGGAGCTGTGTCTCCGGTGGTGGTCATGGGTGGTTTTGTGATGTGAGATTGAATTTCTAGAATAATGATTGGTTGGCGAGAAAATTGGATCAGAGATTTTAGGATTGAGGGACCATCTTCATCTCACTAGATTATTGATTAATTGCAGAGATTCAACACATTACTGGTGTTTTCATTTTTCTGTAAAAAAAAATTAGACACAGAGAGAACTGAGAAGTGAGGTTTCGGAGAGAGAGAGAGAGAGAGAGAGAGAGAGAGGAGGGGGAATTTCATTGGTGTTTTCATTTTTCTGTTAAAAAGATAATGGGATAAGATGGTAATTATACATCGATGATAGGCTCAAGAAAAAATACCAGTAAAAGCCGCGACTGCGCTACTACAGTCGCCGACTGTGGTTAGCAACCTCTTATGAGTATTAATTATGAAGCTTATCTAAAATATATCTTACGATCGTTGCCAAACATAGGAAAATAAAATTAAAAAAATGAAAAGAACATTTTAAGGAAAACATTTTACATATACCTTGTTATCTGATCCGGTGCTTCCGATGACTCGGCAGCCTTTAAGTTTAGCCAACTGTCCGGCGATCATCCCGACGGCTCCAGCGCACGCTGATATAAATACATTCGAACCCGGTTTTGGCTTCCCTAGTACTTCTATCCCAACCCATGCAGAAAACCCAGGTAGTCCTATATATATATATATATATATATATAACAAATACAGACCATATTAGTATATATATATACATATAGAGAGAGAAATTGACATTGCAAAATATAGTAATTTTAGTAATGAAAAAGGAAAGGAAATTACCAAGAGAACTAAGGTACTCAGGCAGTGGAATCCCAGCAGTTGGATCAGTTTTTCTAAGGAAATGAGATGCTACCACACTATATTCAGCAACTGGAAAGAAGGGATTGACCACGATCTCACCCTCACTAAATTTACCGTCTTTGGACACAATCACTCTTCCTACCCCAAATGTTGTGATCACCTGCATCGCAGCAACAGTCAAAATAAGAAATAAAACTACTAAAATTCATCAAGTCGGAAGAGGGAAAATTACAGTTTTACCTTGTTGAGGGGAATTTGGGGAAAGTAGAGTCCTCCTTCCTCGACGCCGGTCATTATGGTCCGGAGGTATGGTTCGGTGGAAGTCCAGAGTAGCTGAACAGCCACGTGTCCATCAGGGATTGAATCAACGGCGAGTGATAAGGTTACGGTGCGAAGTTTGAGATGATCAGACGTCGGAACACCTTCTGGTGCATAGGCAGCTAAATACCATTCCTTGCTCTCAACCACCTCCACCTTCTTCTCACCACCACCGCTGCCGCCCATCTCTCTCTCTCCTCTGTTTCTCTCTCTATCTAGATATCTATTTCTCTGTTTCTCTCTCTCTATCTATCCATCTATCTATCCATGTCTGTGGTGACAAGATTATGACGAAGGATAGTGGGTATTCGTTTCATAATGATGATGATTGATGGAAAGTTCTTGGCCCGCGTGAACAGGTAAAGGTCAATGGCGAGTAACAATGTGGTTGGTGGTGGGCTCCAAAATGCAATCAATATTAGTATTGCAATAACGTGGAACACTGGAACATGAGGGAATTGGTGCTTGAATATAAAAATGAAACATTATTATACAAATTTCTTTTTTTTAATGATCAATACGGTCCGAATTTTACTAATATCATATATTAAATAAATTAAAATTTTCACGTTACCCTTCTCTCTCTCTCTCTCTCTCACGTCCTCTATATTATATGCAATTCATAATTTCTAACACTCTCTCTCACGTCCTCTATATTATATGCAATTCATAATTTCTAACATCACAAACATATCTGCAAAATCGTCACCTACAACTCTGTTGGGATTTATATGCCCTGGCATAGCAAATTCCTATCTGGATTGTAGTGACATATGTTCCTGACATATGTTCCTGACATATTTATGATTTATATAATTGGTGAATTCAATGTATTATGTTTCGATTCACTGTGAAATTGATAGTGTCCATGTAATTACAAGAAATATTTATATATATGTATGTGATGACAATCAATACATGATATATAAATAGTAATTATAAATTGTTCATAGTCGGTAATTATGGATGGACTCATAATTAATTAAGACTTGAACTGGATCCGCGTTAGGTTGAGATATATTGCGAGAGCCGTCGTATGCAATTACTCCCTATCACCGTCATGGCATTTGACTCTTAAGCATGATAAAAGTATAGACTCTTTTATTAATTAATAATTACTTTGATTTGTTCGGCGGATTTTTCGGGATCCTTAGACCGACACTTTGGGTAGTTATGTAATTAATAGTTAGAGGGTTATATTTTCAATATTTGCATCATTGCTACTTGTATTTATTTTGTATTGATTATGGTTGATCACAAAGTAAATTCGAAGGCCTTCGTGTGTTTTTAGACAAAATGATTTATTATATATTTATTTATTTAAATTATTATTTTTTGTCAAACAAATGTTTTATTGTGATCGAGCCAGAAATAATCAAAGGTACCAAAATAAATATATTAATTAAGTAGTCGGATTGATGGCTATATTTATCCGATAACTAATTATGCATAGAGGGGTCAAAGTGCAATATTGACTTAGAGGTTATTTATTATTTAATTGGAGTTCAATTAATTTCTTTTAGTGGAGTATAAATTAATTTATGAATTAATTGAATTGGGTCCATGGACCGGGCCAATTATTAATTCATTGTAGCCAATAAAATAATAGGCCCAATGGATTCTCACTCATAGCCCAACTTGATATTGGAATCATATTAGATTTGAGACATATGAATTAGAGATGGAGAAGGATTTGTTGTTTCCTTTTCTTTATTTTTATGTTGCCTATAAATATACATGGTCTATGTATATTTTGGGTGGTGATTTTTATGAGAAGGAATAAGGAATGAATTTTCTTTCTCTAGAAAATTAGGGTTTATGGTCTCATCTAATAGAGGCTCCCACAAGCCTAGTTTTCCAAGGTAATTCATGGAGGCTTATGAGTGATTCCTAAAGGCAAAATAATTACCAAGAAGATGGAGATCCAAGGAGAAGGCATCTTGCTAAGGGATCTACAATAAGTGAGAACATTCACTTTAGAGGAAAGTTTTAAAGGTTTACTCAGACCTTTGATGTAAGTATTCAATCCATTAATTGAATGATACATCATATTTTTATTTTTGCATAAAACTTGTCTCTATGTGATGAATCAAGATCTATGAATCAAAATCCCTCGAAAAGTTTTTAAAACTTGCACGTTTCCCAACAGTGGTATCAGAGCATGGTTTGATTCATTACTAGAGATCATGTTTTTATCAAAATCATCATCATGGATCCAAATTTATATATGCATATGTTTATATTATTATATGATCATGATGTATGTATAATTGTGAATGAATGATGATGAATGTTTGGGCCATGGATGAAACTTATAGGTTATTGGAATGTAATTTTATCTTTAGATGAATGTAATTAAGGCTTTGATTTAGCCGTTTGAAAGTTCAATGATGTAATTTAATTTTTTTCATTGTATTTCAAATTGTAAATTTATTTAAAGCCATGTAATCTTCATCAAAGGATGTTTTGAAGTTTCAAGAAGGTCCGAGAGGGTTAAATTAGGCTTCAGGAATTTTCTAGGATTTTTTAGAAATTTTTCAGAATTTTTCTGGAATTTTTTAAGGCCTAATTTAATTTCTGGAATTTTAAAAATATTTTCTGGAATTTTCGGCGATTTTCCGGAGACCGGAGCAATGCCGGCGGCGAGGGACAGCGCCGGAAGATGGACGTATAATCCAGTGTAGCAGCACCCATGGTGCACTGAAGAGGACAGCCAATGGAAAAGCGCGTGTAGTACACGTGCTGACAAGGTCAGCATTCTGGCGCGTGAGATACACGCGCCAGACAAAGTCAACCATCCGGCGCGTGAGGAACACGCGCCGGACAAAGGAACCTTCCCCACGCGCGTGCCGACGCGTGGCAGCACGTGCCGACGCGTGGCAGCGCGTGGCATGCACTGAATCATCTTTCCAGCGCGTGTAAGCGCGTGGGAGCGCGTGACACGCGCTGGGACTCTCCAGAGGCGCGTGGGAGCTCGTGAATGACCTTCCAGGTGCGTAGCAAGCCTCGTTTTGCTTCTCCTAGCGCGTATCAACCTCCTGCGGGTGTTTTCATGCTGATGGAAGACCATCATGCAGTTATTAGAGCAATTAAATGTTAAAAGCTAAATCCATTGGCCATTTAAATTGCTTCTGTCTGTTATTTATTTATTTAACTGATGCATGGAATAATTAATTGTTTATTGTATTCATGCATTGGATCCATGATATTTAATTAAATGACTTGATTTATATTAATTAAATTATGAAAATTAATTGGATTTGATTACTAATTAATTAGAGGCCACTTATTGGGAAACGAAAAATTATTTTTGTAAATTATTTTTGAAGTGTGCCTCAAATTAAATATTAGTGAATCATTTAAGTCCAAATATTTTCTAAATTTAATTGGATTAAAATCAAGACGTTTTGCATACATTATATCATGTAAATGAATAAATTTAAAACCCTAATTATGAATGATTAAAAATTGAGTGGGAGCGGGGATTTTTATACATTACCCCATGGCCTTCGTTATTAAAACCATTATAATTAGATCTTCAAAAATAAGGCCCCACGCATGATTTGAAGAGTCTTAATATTACAAGAATGGTTGACTCATGAAAATAATAATATTAAATGTTCATTGTACTTAGATCTTTAAAAATAAGGCCCTACGCATGATTTAAAGAGTCTAGATTATAATGACAAGATATTTAATATTTTATTTTTCATTAGAGCATTAATAACGTTATACACTCAATCTAAAATCAATAGTGTTAGCTCCCCAACGGAGTGGTCTACACTAGGTGATTTTAGAAAGGCTAAACATAATCGGGAATAATTTCATATAGATAGACAAGGCATTGTCTTAAGTAATATGGAGATGATGGGATTTGCCCACTAATAGCAATAATGAACTTCGCCAACCGAATAAGTTATTGGTGTATTGGTTATCCGATTTTTCATGCAGTGGTTAAGGGACCCACATACTATTTTAATGGAAGTGCTCACCTAATAGTAAATGAATCTCAACAATAGTAATAATGAACTCCTCCAACAGGATAAGTTATTGACATATTGATTGGTTGATTTATTATGCTACAGAGTTGAGGGATCCGCATTAATTAAAAGGGATTGTTCACCAATAATGATAATGATCTCTTGTTCGATTGAGATTTATTATATTATGTGGTTAACAAACTCATTTTAATTTTAAATATGCATGATAGTATTAATAATTCACCTTGTATATCGTATGAATGCATTTATATTCAGACTGATTATGTCTAATCCATTTTATCTGCTTGCTAATTTCAATGTATGTGGACTTCATTTATAATGACTAGAAAAGGAATTTAGATATTTTATTCACAACGTGGTGGTACAAATGTATTTACTACTCCTAAAACCTAATCCTTTTACTTTAAGATACCCAAGAGAACATTAATGCTTTGAATAAGTGAAATAATGCAAATGAGATGAATTGGTGCAATATTCTAGAGTTTACCTCGAATACGCTCCAAAGCTAACATTTACATTATTTTATTTTCTTCAAGCATCATATTAAATGTCAATAAAATGTTTTGGTGAGATTAGATAGAGAGCATGCCAAAGTACTATGTCAGACTTGAATAGCATCAAGATAGCCTAAGGAACTCCAGTATGAAATCGAATTTTGAAAAATGATTGTTTATTATTTAAAAATTAGCTGGAGATCAATAAGGCTGACTTGGGTGGTAAGTTTCAAGTTGACATGATTATTGCCTTCTTACCAAACTCATTCGACTCTGTTAGAGTGAACTAAATAAGGAATCAGTTTGAGTTCACACTCGCTGATATTCTTATAGAATTGGTAACAGATGAAGGGATAATCAAGAGTATGGGCGTTCCTATCAATCTAACCTAGTCTATACCATCTTCTTCTAGGCCCAAGTGGACGGGCAAAGTAAAGAAGAAGGATGATAATAGGACTAGACTAGCACAGAACATGGGTATTCAAAAAGGTTAAAGGGAATAAGGCAGTGTATGTTGAGGGCGAAGAAAACTGTTTCTTTTGTCGCTAACTAAAACACTAAAGGACGAACTGTTTAAGCAATGACGTGGCATAGGAAAATATATATTTAATCATTGAGCCATGTTATGTGGTTGTGTCTATTAATTCCTGATGGATAGATTCTGGAGCCACTAAACATGTTTGCAATTTATTGTAAGGATTTCAGGATTCCAGAAGCCTCGATGATATGGAATATATTTGTACTTAACCTGATGTCAAGGTTGTAGCTAAGTCAGTGGGAGTATTACATCTGAAAATAGAGAGTATGAGGATATTAGTATTAGAGAACTATTTTTATGCACAGAA